CAACAGACAGCCAAGCATATGACTGGGGGGCAGGGAGGAAAGGGGAAACAGAGGTAAAAAATCAGGTCAGAGATGATACCAGGACCACGTCATAAGAACTGATTTCATTAGCCAGAGACTTGGCCTGGAGATATAACATGGAATCAACAGCACATAATGCTGGTTAAAGCCAGAGTTCTGAGGGAAACCACTCAAAGACACAGAGTAAGAGGTAAGGAGCCTGAGCGCTGAACAGGAGGGAGTAACAAAATTTAAGAGGAGGGTAGAGAAAGACAGCAAAAGGTCTAAACAGAAAAGGAAGTGACTAGGAAGACAGAGTTTACAGAGCCACTAAGAGTAAGGGTCACAGATGTCGGCGGAGGAAGTTTCTGGTCAGAGCGGGTGGCCAACCGTGTCAAATGCTGCAGAGAGGTCAAATAGAATACACAGTACCTATCTGACCTACAACAAAAAGGACACTAATGACTTTGGCAATAGCAGTTTCTGAAGAGAGGTAGGGACAGAAGCCAGAATGCAGTGAAGTCTCTGGAATGTGGGAAAGTAAAAAGACGGTGACTGTAAACTACTTTCAGGAGCTTGACTACAAAGGGAAAACTGAAGAGTTGTTGCTGTTCAAAATGGAAAAAAAAATTCAGTTGATTTATATGCCAAAGAGTTGAGAGAGAAAGGCTGAAGATACACTAACACCCCTGCCTCAACAGCAACAGCTGCCTTCCACTCCACAGAGGCCAGCACAGCTGTCGGCTCCAATTTTCTCCACTTCGTGGCCAAGGCATTAGAGTTTTGTTGTTTGCTGTCTGTCATCACCTTTACTGCCATGCCTCCCATCCCAGCAGAATGCTGGTCCTTCCTCGTGCGCAAGGCAGAGCCAGTACCCTTGGGTCCCATCCTCTTGCATCTCCCTGGAAACTTGCCCTATCAGTTATCCTTTTCTGTCTTCAGCTTTTCCCTCTGGACTCTTTTCCCTTAGCATATAAATAAGCTGAACTTCTGCCATCTTGGGGGAAAAAAGTAGAAATCAGAAATGGGAAAAAGGACAAAAAAAAAAAAACCCAACTACTTCAGTGTCCACTATTTCCCAAAATAAAAATGCTTGAGTTTCCATTACATTTCCACTATGGACGTAAAAGTTCTTACTTCTTAGTGGAAGTAAACCATTCATCTAATTATTCAACAAACATTTTCTGAGTGCCTACTATGAACTAGGAGATGAATACACACTATGAACAAAGTCAGATTTCTGGCCTCATGTACTATCAAAGAGGGGGAATATAGACAATAAACATATATATATACACACATACAAATACACACACAAACACAGGTCATTGTAAGTGCTGAGAAAAGAAAAACAAAGCAGGATAGAGAGTAATGGGAGGTGTTATTTTAGGTAAGACAGGCAGGAAAGAATTCCCAGAGAACATGACATCCGTGCAGGAACTTCAGTGAAGGCACAGCAAGTATTAAGGCCCTGGGGCAGGAGCATACTTGATACATTCAGGAAATAGCAAGAAAGTCAGCATAGCTGGAACAGAGTAGAGTGAGCTGGAGGACTGAGGTAAGAGATCAGGTCAGAGGTGATGCCAGGGCCACGTCATAAGAACTATGATTTCATCATAAGCCTCATGGGAAGACATTGAAGGGTTCTGACAGCAGTGTGACACTGACTTCAGTTTTCAAAGGCCATTCATGTTGCCAAGCAGAGAACTCTAACTACAACACAGAGGGATGAAGCATGACAATGAAGGGCAGTTGGGCAAATCAAGACGGACACCTACCACTGAGTGTGAGGGAGTGATGCCTGAACAGAATACTGAGGGACAAGCAAGGGTCAGCAGGAAGGTGGCAGGGTGGCTAGGGTCCCCAAATAGAGTACACAGATGTAGAAAAGGCATAGGAGTATTTTTGGTTTTGTTTTTTGGAGTTGCAAATGTTTTAGTCTTTTGCTTATTTGAATTTTAAAAGGTTTGGTATTTCTAATCCCCAATATTAAACGGTCAAAAATTATTTTATAGAAATAAACCACTCATAAGTCTAACCCTAAAAAAGACACCAGGGAATAAACCTAATAAAATATCTGCATGACCTTTATGGAAAAAATTATAAAACCTGTGGATAGATATTAAAGAAGGCCTATTAGAGAGAGAAAACTAACGAATGACCGGATTCCTGCATTCTGTTGATACTTATTTGGTGGTTGGCTTTATTCCTTTGATAACTATGTAAGTTTAAAAAGCTAAAGTTCTAAACTGTTCTTAGAAACAATGAACAGTACATATATGTAAATTTTTTTAAATATCCAGACTAGATAAATCCAAAGAGAGAGAATGCCTACTGGTGGTTAACAGGCGCTGGGAGGAGGGTGCCAATAGAGGAAAAAGTGCTTAATGTGTACGAGGTTTTATTTTGGGTGATGGAAATGTTTTGGAACTAGACAGAATTGGTATTTGCACAACACTGTGAATGTACTGAATGCCACTGAATTGTTCATTTTAAAATGGTTTATTTCTAGACTTTGAATTTCACCTCGGTAAATT